GGCCCTGATTTCTATGTCAGTGCCGAGGTGCGTTGTACAAATACTCAATTTGCCTCATGGCTACCTCTATAGATGACTGGGTTTGCCGTGAGGTGTTACATGCCACTTTCTAGCATCAAAATTTGATGCGCTCTCGAGTGTCCCTAATTGGCACATGGTTGTGTTTGTGTCGCTACACGAGTCTTGTTTTGGGAAAAGAATAAGAACCCCGCAAGTGTGGTTGGAAGCCCTGCTTGAGCACAGGGCAGCGGTCAAGATTCACCAGGACAAAAATCAAATTGTGGTTCATGGCTGCGGTCATCAAGTGGATCTACCTCACCTTCAGGCCGATTACGAGCTGAGACGAGCAACATTTGTTTGAGAAGGCAGCGGTGGCGAACCGCAAGCCAAGCAGGTGGGACTTGGCCAGGCGATACATCGTGCCACCTCGTGCAGTGTTTTGTGTGCTTGGTGTGCGATCTGCACCTGGCTAGGTGTATCTTGTGGTGTGAGCTTGTGAGTAGTTAGCTACCCATTTAGTTTTCAATCATTGCAGTGGAGAGCGGGCCATGTCAAGAGGACCATAGTTTTCCAAAACCCCTTCTGTCAGCTTCCAAGATTGTTGGGACGTTGATAGCATATTATACTACATATGTATATATATATATATGTATATGGCGTGTGAGGCCGGCGACATTTTTGTTAAGCTACCAGACTGTGGCCCCCCTTCAATTGAATCCAGTTCTATTGAAACAAGAAGAGTTCAAACATGTCTCGAACACGGAGTTGGTCTAAGCCTGCTGTACACCGACCATTCTCCACGCTGAGCGCCATGAGCCAGGTCCGACTTTGGCGAGGCCTCGGTGCCTGCAGCAGTGCGGGGGCCCCAAAGCTTAGAGCAGACACACAGAGGTCCCCAGAGGTCCCCAGTTAAAATCATCCCACCCAAAGGACACTTGCTTCTCTTTGCACACAAACTGTTTGTCAACCAAAGGCTCATGGTTTATATTTTCAGCCTTCGCACATTCAAGCCACAACTGGGGAAAATGAAGACTGGGGAAAATGAAGATATTCTGGAGCACATGGAAGCGTCAATCTGCCAAAAGAGGGGTACCCTTGTTGGACCCCTTGAGATGTTTTCTTTGTCAGCATCGAAGCAAGTGCCCAACAAAAAACGTGCATTCCAAACAAGTCAGGCCCACTTGAGGATGTGAGTCAACCTTCCAACAAGCAACAAACATGAAACACCAAGAATGATAATGTCTATAGAGAGAAGAAACCGTGCATACCCAGCAAGTAACACATCCCCGGAACTGGCGTGGCCTGCAATTGGAGTGTTTGGTGTGCCTGCCGGCCTGTTGGGCAAACGGTGAGCCATCAGGCGAGCGCACGGTGACGGAGCAAATATGTCCTTGAAAATATGTAGAATATGTGGATGTCCTCCCATTGCCCCTCCCCCGTAAAAACCAAAAGGAGGCCCTCCACTTGCAGCAGCTTTCCCCAACATGTTGCGTCACGCAGATATTTACAGAGCACCTTGCTGTGCGGTGGTTTTCAGAGATGGTCATCAACAGAGAGGGTCTTGCCACAAGCAGCCAGTACAAAAGGCCTATTGAGAGGACCACGACCAGAACCCGCAGAAGCTCTGATCATCCATACGCATGTGCGGTTTTGTCGAATCTCTCCACTCAGCTTTTGTTGCGTCCCGGGCCTTAATTTGGAAGAATGGTCGCTTGCTCTTGTGACACTTTGCCACCTTCATGAAATTTATTTTGGCTTTTCAATTCAAAGCGAATCACATCATAATGTACCCCATCGACGTTCAGGTCCATTGCTCCGGGTCCCCCGTTTTGCCGCTTGCCAGTGTTTGCCAGTGTTCGGCCCGGCAACGGCTTCACGCCTGGACAGTGACCCAGTCGCCTGAGGCCCATCTTGGACGTGGTGTCACGCGTCTCTGACATCATCTTCGTGGACAAGGACTCTCCTTTGTTCAGTTGAACGATTCACGCATCGCCTTTCGGTGTGCTCTGGAATTGAGCTTTCTTGTGGGTGATGTCAATACTGCCCATGATACGAAATGGTACGACACCATTCGACCTTTCCTTTTGGCACACTTAGGGCTCCGCAACCCCACCACGTTTCAACCCCCCCACCGCTCTTCAGACATCTTCCTTGAATTGTGTGCTGCAAGGAATTCCCCACATGGGTTTGAGTTTTTTTCGGGTACCCCTTTTGGGGGCGTGAAACCAAAAGGACAACTACCATCAATAGGAGCAATCAGGTTAGATCCCCCCATAGCTAGGATCCTTGCGTTTTTCCTCTTGAGTTGAATTGCTTAAGCATCGCATTGCGGGCTTCTTGAGGTGAGAGGCACAATGGTGTTCAGCATACACCGAGGCGCCTTTTGGATGCGTTGCGACCATGTTCGACCATGTTCGACCGTGTCGGATTCTTGGAGGATTTGGACGAGCAGGAGCTGGGCGGCAACGTGACCTGGACACCACCCCCAGACTTGACGCAGGCGGCGAGGGCGGGAGGCAGAGTGCGGGGAGGGATTACTCGATTCGCTCGATTACTCTACATTACTCCCAGGTCCCCCTGCTGGTGGCCCATTCCCAAACATCAGCTGCGGGGGGTCAAACGCACCGGGGTTCAGTTCGCATCCGCCTTCTCCATCAAGCAAACCGGCAGAAACCAATCTAATTGAATCGTTTGCCGTTTGCGTTTGAGACAGAGTTTCTGGGTGACAGAGTGACAGCTGCACTGATTGCTATTGCCATAGTTTTCTGTGTCCCCCCTCTTACTAGGAGATCTCGTCTCAAAAGGACTTGCCCGCTCTTAAGCTTTAAACATGCTGTGGCGTGCGGCATGCCAGGCTCGAGCCAGTGGTAGACCCCCCTATTGATTGGTGGTGAGAGGAGAGCCCTACAGGGAAACCAGGCGTTGCCTGTCTAGGGAGTGGTTTGGCGCACTTGGGGTTCCGGAGGGTTCCGGCGGGGTGGGGATATCACCTGGGCTTGTCTTAGATGGGCCATCGTCCGTTGAGAGGTCGAAGGGAACCCCCAGAACTTTGACTCTGAGAGAGAATTACGCGTTGCCACGGGCTCGGTTGTTACTTGTTTCTGTGGGGTTCTTACAACGGTGGATCCTGTTTGGATGGTTTCAAAGCGAAGCCAAAGGAAAACAATCCATAATCCCCCCTATCTTGAGAAACATCCTAAAAGCCAAAGGCTACACCTTTTGAATTGACCATAGTTAGTTGCTAACACCAGTCTGCTGGAATATACCAGCAACCCAGGTCTGACTTTGACGATGGCAATGGACTGGCTTTGACAAGCCCCGTTGGCCATTTAGGTGAGAAAATCATCGGTCATGTTGAATCGGAGCTAATTTTTAGTTCAACATGGGAGAGAGGAGCTGGTTCTGGGCTCGTGATACGTACATACTTCAAAGTCAGCTTTGTGGCTTTTCACTACCTGACTTTTGCAAACGCATGGTTTCAAAACATGTAATAACACAGCTGGTTTTGCGCCGTGCATTCTGGCTCATAGCTTGCGGGTTGGGTAGCACTCGCCTGCGGCGTGGTCCGGGGCCTCAACAGGCGCTCTCCGAGAGGTCTGAACTGGGCAAATGGTGGTTTTCAAATGCTTTAAAGGGAACAAAAGGACATCGTGACATCACCCATTTTGGACCTGTTGAGACACACCCTAACGAACTTGCATTGGCGTAAAACAAGCTTAATCATGATGAAGGCCCCTTGGGAGTTTCTTAGTTGTGTCACTAGTTTTGTTCCACTGAGGAAGATAGCCGATTCCCAAGAAACACTTGGTAAACAAATTGCCAGCCAAGCGGTTCCTGATCTCGTAGCATGGTTCCCACCAGAGCCTTGTAATGATTTTGCATATTATACACCTATGCCAGGGACCCCACGAACCATAAAGCGGGACCCCAAAGGCCTACCCGACACTTCTTTGTTGGCCTCATTTTGGGGGAGACATTGGCCCGTGCCCCTCAGAAAAGGTTGCAAGAACCCTTCTAAGAGCCAACAATCCTGTTCGGGAATCTTTTGATCATGATGGGGTTTTGAGATGACATTTGGGTCTGCAGTATGCCAGGCTCGCCAAACTATACCCAACGGCTGGACCACAACCCCGAGAACAGGGACCTCCACTGAACAAATTGGTCAAATCTGACTTGGACAGTTCCAGCGGTTCCTTTCATTTGTTGACCGGATTACCCCTCATCGGTTGTTTGCATTGGTGCAAGCCCTATAACAGTATGCCCCCCTACTCCCAATACCCGCTCCTTTTGGTTGGCATTTTCTGGAAAGCCTTGTTTACCTCTGGTTGGGGTGGGAAGTCTTGAAAGCAAAGCTCGGGTATTTGGCGGCGGCGACCTTGGACATTGAAATCTCACGCACCGCTCCTATGGTCGAGTTTCCGAGGCGGGCGATGCCCGTGCTACAGGGTGGAGACTGGGTGCCTCGATCGATTTTGGGGAAGTCGGGGCACTGGGTGTCATTTTGATTTAAGGCTCAGTTATTGGGTAAAGTGTCTGAGCAAAAACATGCATCTTGGCTATCTGGCAAAAGGCTGATTTGTTTTCCCAACCAGTACAAAAGGGTCCCCCAACCGTGAAGGATTCCTTCTAATATTGGATAGGGCCGCCCTTTTTGCAGGGTGCCTATAGTGCGCATTGGGAGTGTGGATGAGACTTCCCAAGAGAGGGTCTCTGCGCAAGGCCAAAATCGCTCAGGTGGGCTGCAGATGGCCCAGGGATGCTACATTGGTGCACAGACTCTGGGTGCCAAAAGGCCCAGTTGTCAAAACAAGGACCCAAAGGGAAAGGTGATTGATAAATTTATCCAGATCCCTGCCTTGTTTGGCCATACAACATTCCGAACAGTTTCCGGGGAAGATAATGGCTGATTCCCACGAAACACAACGGATGGTAAAGAATTGCCGGAGTTCCCGCATGAGGCTGGGTTGGGAGTTGGGAGTTCCATGTTTGTTGTCTCTCGTTACAGTGCTACATGTTACGGCTGATAGCTGAACAAGAAATGCGCAACATCGCAATGTTTTCGCACGATCACTCGACCCCTGGTCAATCAACAGAGGGTGCAGCCCATTCCAAGAGGCAACCAAGACTACTTTTTGAGGAGGCTGTGCCCCATAGCTCCAAAATGCCTTGACCTACATTCAAGGAACAAATTTCAGGAGGCGTACAAAGGCCTCCTCAGCTCTAAGACCAATCCGGAAATGCCCGGGACCTTGTGCTCGGCCCAGTACTACACGGAGGGCGAGAAACCAGGCCCTCTCAAGGAGCCAGAACAGAAGGCACGGCATGGCTGACTACCCACACCTGCGCCAGGGGCCGTTTCATGATATGTCTTTGGGAGTTTTTGTGTTTGCGTGGAGTTGCTCTTGTCGAAACACAAGGGGCACCGCAAGATTGCCGGTGAGCATGGCCTGTCTTGGCTTGGGAGCATGGAATCTACCTTTGAAGCAATTGAGTGGAGGCCCAAACGGGTCTGTTTCTGATTGACATCAGCTGCCGGGGAATATACCAGATTTTTATCGAATCCAGGATAACTTCCTGCAGCAGGCCCTTTTGTCGCATGCCTGTGACAAAATGGTTCCCCTCAGAGTCTAGAGACCATCGAATGTTTGAATGTTTCTACAGCATCAACATACCGCTGGGTGGACCAGTGGAACATCAAATGATCTAAAACTATGGCTCAACAGATCAACCGCATTGCAGGGTTCTAGGCTAGCTTGTAGATTTATTGGGTGTCCTAAATCAATTGGGGAGCCCCTTTTGGATCGTCTATGAAGGCAAACTGGAAGAACACTACTTACGTTTCGGTGTCTGGTTTGTAGTTGTTGTGCGTGCGTGTGTGTTTTAGGGTTTCCTTGCTGGTGCTGTTTTGAAGGGATCCAATAGGAAGTGCATTGGAAGTCATGATCCTTAAAGAAATGAGCAGGAGCTTGAATTAAAACAAGATTGATCCGGTGATGCTTGTTTTCTGTTGGCAAGTTGTCGTATTCTCACTGATTGTTGAAGCCGGATCGCTCTTTCCACTCGTTTGGTTTTGCGCGTTTGATCCTGTTTAGTCATGGTCTTTTGGATAGCAGTTTATCGCCAGACCCTTTGGGCGAGGGAGGATTTTCACCAGCTCCTTCGGGCCATGGGAAACGAGAATGCTGACCCTTAACTGTCTTTCTACTTTCTAGCGAGCTTCTTGATCAGGGGGATCCGTTTAGTTCTAGCGACTGCCAAGGCGCTGCCTGCTTTTGCGCACCGCTTGTTTCAATTCCTGCTGAACCCGTTTGACTGAGCCCGAGTTTGCCTTTCGGAGCCCTCCTTCCCTTTGTGGGATGCTTTCCTCGGTCTCCTTTGACACAGTGCCATGCATTTTTCCAAATGATACCTAGGGTAGAACTGCCGACGGTCTGGGGTATGTCTTGTCGTTTGCTTTTCTCAACACAAGCATTTGGGATACCTCACGCGAAGAAAGAGCAAAAAATCCACGGTGTTTCGTGGTCCCTGTCAGCTTTGCAGGTTTTGTCAGTTTTCGGGTGGCAAAAGGCTCCAACCTCGATGGAGCGCAGGCGGAGAACAAGCCGGGCCACCGGCCTTTGGGTTCCTATCAGCTGCCGAAATGGGTGTACCATCCAGAGCGGGCGAACCGCAGGAGGGGTTTGGGTGGGGTTGAGGAGCACATTTGTGAAGATCTGTTGTTTTGATGGTTTGTTGAATCAAGCAGAAAACCAACAAATCTCCACAACTGTGCCAAAATGTATTGCACCCTCTAGTGACAGTCACGATCCCAAGCTGGTGCCGCAGAAAGCGCCCTCGAAAGTCCATGTTCCTTTTGGAAGGGGTTGCTTTGAACTTCCGTGTTAGTTAGCTCAGTGAACAACCCTTGGGCGAATTGACCATTTGTTTTTCCAATTTTGACTGCCACTATTTTGGAAAGGTAACACAGATTTACACGCTGACGCGACACAGCCGGCCACCGGGCACCTTGCCCTTCCCGTTCTTTTAAGGCCATTTCCTTTAATTCCTGTTAATTTGAACTTCGCTTCCTTTGCATGTTTTTCCTGCGTGTAGTTTCCTGGTATTTCCCTTCACTTCCTTTCGCTTCATTTCCGCTTCAGCTCCCTTCATTTCCTTGAACGCCCCTTCATTCGCATTCCTTTCCCTTAGTTCATTTTAGGTGACCTCAACCTCGCTTCCCATTTCACGTCAGTTTCCTATTTCTCTTCAGTTTCCAACAGTTTCTTTTCGTTCCCGTTCTCCGGTTCCCTTCACGTTCTGCCCTTGCATTTTCCTTGCATGTTGGTTCCTTTTCTGCAATTTTCAGCCCCTTGATTCGCATCGCCAGAACGCATGGCATCATCCGCATCATCCGTGATGATGCTGGCAGTGCTGGGGGTGTTGTCCAGTATTAGGCACCCCCCCAAAAACACTTGGTTTTGTGACTCTGCGGGGAGATGCTACAACAAATCCTCGAAAATC